TTCTGCAATGAAATATCCCAAGAAATAATTTGTAATCCCAACAGCTCTACTTTCAATTACCATAGAGCTGATTGAGAGCAGTATCGAACATTTATGGAATATAACTTCGATCCAAACATTCCTTTGCAAACCAAAGATGAAATTAATTATGCTCTTGACTCTGACTACTTCTATAGTTGCAGCAAGAGCTGCCTCAGTATCAAAATGCGAGGTTAAATTCGATTCAATTATAATAGACGACGATCTTCAGCTCTTGATCCGTCTTAAAAATGTCCGTAGGAGACAATATCAAAGAACACGCGATCCTGCCATGAAAGTTATGTGGTGGGATTTGCAAAAACAAATTAAAAAGCGATTCTCTGCCCTGAGGAACAAAACTTTTGAAAATAATGTTTCTAAATTAGACCCGAGTTCCAAACCCTTTTGGAAACTCACAAAAATTTTGAAAAAACCTCAAAAGCCAATTCCAGCGGTTAAAGAAGGTGGTAAAATTTTGATCACAAATTTAAAAAAAAGGCTCAGCAACTTGCTAAGCAATTCGAGAGTTCCCATAATTTCAGTTTGGGTCTTACTAGTCCTATTGAGGATCAGGTTGCTCGCGATTATCTGAATATTTTCTCTCGGGAAAATATTTTTGATGATTCCTGGGGGACTGATTCGGACGAAGTAAGCTAGAATGATGAGAAATTATCTAGATGAGCTAGAAATTTTCCTCGGAATTCGCTTGAAATTTTGCTTAAAATCCCTTTGGAATTTCATTCCAAATTTGATTTTCTCGGTATTCTTTTCGAAATTTTCTTGGAACTATCTGCAGAATATACTAGAAATTATCCTCAGAATTTTATTTGAATTCTCTCCAGAAATATTTTGGAACTGCCCTAAAAACTCAATATCCTTGAGGTTCTTATCGGAATGTTTTTGAACTTTTTTTCTCAGAACACCTTGGAACTGGAATTCACCTAAAGTTTCAGAAGAATTTCCTCTGTATTCTCCAGAAATTCTTTCCAGAATGAGCTTGAAATTATCGTTGGGATTCCTTTTAAATTTTCCTCACCATCCCTTTGGAGTTTCATTCAAAATTTAATTCTCTCGGTATTCTTTTCGAAATTATCTTGGAACTATCTGCAGGATTCAACTAAAAATATTCGTAGAATTTTCATCAAATCATCCCCAGACATCTTTTATTTTGCACTGTCCTCAGAATTCAATACCCTTGAGGTTCTTCTCAGAAGTCAAGTTTATGTTGTCCGTCCATTCATCAAAACGTTGTAGTTTTTCTATCCGAAATTTTCAATAAAGCTTGCCCCTCCATTCACCAGAACTGTGCAATTTTTACATCAGGAATTTTCAATTCAGCTTGCCCCTCTATGCAGCAGACTGTTGCAAATCTTACACCAGAAAATTTTAGTACAAACTTGCCCCCAGGTAATTTTACACCAGAAAATTTCAATTGACCAGAACGCTGCCAATTTTCCACCGTTAATGTTCAATAAAAATGGCTTCTCCAATCTTCTGATTGGTGCAGATTTCCTTTTTCCACCAGACATTTTCAATAAAGATTACTTCTCCTATCATCAGAAAGTTGCAGGTTTTTCACCAAATAATGCTTGCCCCTATTTTAAGATTTTTCATCATAAATTTTCAGTAAAGCAGCTTCCCTCCAATCATCAGAATGATGCAAATTTTACGCCAGAAATTATTATTAAAATTTGTTTTTCTATTCAGCAGAGGGATGCAAATTTAAGACCAAAAAATTTCCGAAAAGTTTTCCCATCTGTTCACCAGAACGGTGCAGATTTTCTGCCAGAAATTTTCAATATAGCTTAATTTCAAAAAAACTTGTGCCTTCATTTACCAGACCAGTGCGAGTTTTCCACCAGAAATGTTCTGTACATTTCTTTTATCAGAGCGATGCAAATTTTGCACCAGAAATTTTCAATAATGCATGCTCCTCCATTCACCAGAACGGTGCACCAAAAATTGTCAGTGAAGTTTGTTTCACCATGCACTTTTGTGGTGCAACTTTCAGGCTTTGCTTCTTCATGCACCAGAATGGTGCAAGTTTTCCACCAAAAATTTTCAATGAAGCTTGCATTTATCAGAAATTATGCACCAGAAAAATGAATAAACCTTGCTTCTACATTCACCACAGTGTTGCGAACTTTCAGTTAAATGTGCACCTCCAAATTTTTAGCGTGATTCAATTTTTCCACCAGAGCTATTTATTTTGATTAGTCCCTCAATGCACCACCTTGATGATATTTTGACACCAGAAATATTTAATAAATCTTAATTGAAGTTTGTCCCTTCATGCACCTTTGTGGTGCAATTTTCAGGCACCATCTCAAAGGATTTGACGCAATAAATGGTTTTCAGTGCTCTCATATTATGAAATGAAGTTATTTTACCTTCAAATCAAGTTAACAAGAAATTAAGTTATGTTATATCATAATTTTGTAAATGTGGAAATAGAAATCTTATTTATAAAAGGTGGGGCAATTGCCTCACCTTGCCCCACCCTGTGCCAGTGCAGAACGTTCCCAAATGCATGGAAAACGGCATCCATAGTACCGATCCATAAGTCTGAAAATAAAAAAAATGTGTCACCAATTATCGTAGTATATCCATACTTTGCACTCTCAGTAAGTCCATTTTACACAACGCATACTCTCACGATTGAACGGATTCAGAAAAGTTTCGCGAGGTTTGCTTTACGTCAGCTCCCATGGAATGATCCAGTCATTCTCCCTAGCTATCCAGACCGATGCATGCTGATTGATTTGGAATCTCTCTCAGCAAGGCGTATACAACTGCAACAACTGTTCATCTTCGACCTAATTACCGGCAATGTGGACTGTTCCGTACTCCTGGAACGGATTCCATGGAACATTCCTCCTCGCAGATTTCGTAATTCCCCGTTACTGTCAATTCCATTCCACAGAACTAACTTCGGATTCAATAACTGTTTTAACTCCTGTTTGTGTTCCTTTAATGATGTTTGTAACGAATTTGATTTTACTATGTCAAAAAATGTGTTTAGTAATAGAATAAGAGGTTTAGATTAAACAAGTTTTAGTTTTAAGTAATCAGTCTGTACAGACGGTGTGCAATAAATAAACATGTCATGTAAAATGAAGTGCTCCGAGACAGATATGTCCGTTACTCAACGAAAAGTACGTTTGAAAGAGCTGAGTTTCGCAACTGTTATAACTCAATCGTATATGTCAGTCTCAGAGCACCTAAATTTACCTTATTTTATCTAAGTGTTCAGATACTATATAGACTTTTAGAAGAAAATTCTTCAAACGTAATATTGGGAATTTTCACTTGATTATTTTTCAATCCTATCTAAATATCTTTATAGTTACTTTCAGGATTTCCCCTTGTAATTTAATAATTCGCTCTGGGTTTTTCTTGAAACTTTCTCCATAACAGTTTACAAATTATCTGCAATAACTTAATGAAATGTCTTCAAAATACTCTTAAAATTCACTTACATTTTCACAATAATTCTCGCAAAGCTCCGCTAAACCTATGTAAAATTAATCAATCAATTATTTCAATCATCATGATGAACATTTTATTCAAAAAGCGTCTTATACATTCCCAGTTATCTACATGCAACAAATAACTGGTACTTTAAATTGATGTGATGATAGGGCAAGCTAAGCAATTTATAAAAATTATGATTATCACAGCATTTTCTAGGCACCCCGAAATTCCCTGACCACCATGATTTTCAAAGAAGTAGACACGCTATTAGAGTAACCGGGTTTGTGAAACTTCAAAATTAAAATATAGACCACCATGTGATGTGCAATCATAGCATCCGACAGTTTCGTCCCTTCCAGTAGCATCGAAATCCCATCTCATCTCATCTAGCGAGCAGGAAATCGATTAGCCGACGGCAATCATCGTGGCTCGTGCTGCTGCCTCTGCGTCGTCACTATCATACTATCTCTCTTCGCTTTATTAACTGTGATTCATCCCAACAACGCAACGATCAGTCGCTTAGCCTCGTGCTCTCCTTCACTTCTCTTCGCCATTGTCCCTTCTCGTTCCGAAGTGCAGCATCCGATAAAAAAAGTCACATCACCCGTGACTCACACCACCACTGGCCACCAGCCACCGTCAGCTCCGTCAGCACGTATCATCGTATCCATTTAAAATTGCGCATCCGGTACAGCATAATTTAACATCGAGCATAAAAAGGGTCCCTGAACGCAAAAAAAAAATCTCAAGAAAAGAGCCCGCATTCTTCCCCAGTTCTTTCGGGTTTTGTGAGTGCGCAATATAAATCAGTCGCCTCACGTACAAACATTTTGTTCCACCCAGGAGCCGAGGGGGGCAGGAGACGAAGTAGGGTACCTAAGCTCTTCTTCCCATTGTGTTATGCTGCGACGACGACGAGCGACGATGTGCGACTATGTGGCCCGGACTGCTATGATGTGATGTGTCTTCAATTACACACACGTCACAGTAGGCTGGGTTCGCACCGCACTCCACATCGCTGAGCAGACGAAGAAGGCGGCGAGGAAAGCATGAAAGCAGGACTTACGGGTTCCGAGCAGCAGCAGCAGCAGCAGCAACAACAACAGCAAAAGCAGTTTGCTGCGCGATCGTGGGAAAAAATATTTTTCTCATGGTTCGAAAAATGCGAACAGCTTGCCATCACAGCCTACCATGCTCTGCTTGCTCCGCATCCTTGTCGATGGGAGTGAGCGAGACGGAGAAGAAGAGAGCAAAACTCAACCGGCCGTAGCATGTGCTTGCTGTGTTCTAATTGGAATTAATAACAGCTGCTGTTTTTGCCCTGGCTACTTTTACGTCGGTGGCGGCCCCGGCGGTGGTCGGATAACAACACGAGGTGGAGAATCGGCGGAAAAACAACATTTTCTTGAATGTTTTTTTTTTTACTTGCTACCATTTTTTTCAGCCCAAAGTGGAATGATGCGAAACGCCCGCAAAAACAACGATGTTCAAGGTCAGGCGGATTCTTATTTTCGGAAGTGTTTTAGTTGATGATTGAGAAGATGAAAGGTTTAATTTTTTCAAATATTTGATAGTCATTCTTTTATTTTGTCTTAGCTCTAATTGATCAAAAAGAACATTTTTGATTTTGTTTGTTTTGCTTATAATCACAGAAATTGCAGCAAACTGCGCAATTCGTAAACAATCTTAAGTTTTATTTTGAGAACAAACATCTTCTACTGGCTACTAAAAAAAAAATTCTGAGCTAAATGCAGAAATAAAACAGGTCTTTCTCAGCGAAAAAGTACTAACAAAAAGCTTAAGGCCTAGTCCCTAAAGAACGTTAATATCACAAACTCTTAAAAACAATTAGAGTGAAAAGTCCTATCTCCTATTAAAGCTATACCCATACGATTGATTGATTGTTTTAAAAGGTTCTGTTTTTGTCTTGTTGTCTCTTGAGATCTCTGGATTGAGGAATTTGGTTGCGTTGAGTGATAAGTCTTGTTTCACTGGTACCGGTTCCAACGGAGGAGGTCCGATCGAACAAACAGGCTTTACCACGGCCTCCAGACGGATTCCTGAATCTTGAGCAGACCGGAGGTTTGCTGATCGCTACCGGTTGAAGAACACTCGCTGGGATTTGGTGATGGGCTGTTGGAGTTGCCACTTCCGGAACGGAACGACTGAGGAGTCAGTGGCATCTGGTAGGACTGCAGGTCAGCGGCAGTAGATGAGGAGGTGGAGAACGGTGAGATAGGAGGAGATTGCAGGTTCTGCTCGACGTGAACGGACAGTGGTGAAACTTTGTCCAGATCGTTCAGCCGGTGTCCGAGGTGGGTCATAAGCTTGGTGCCTAACTTGATGTCTACTCCTTGGGTGGATGCCAAACAGCGGGAAACTTCATTGGCGGCATGGGTGAATCCGGCACGGAAACGGTCAGCATCGATCACTGGGTTAACGGTCAATCTTTGCTGCCGGCGGAGTTTGTGCAAGTGACGAACGGTCAACTCCAGGATGTCGGCCTTTTCCAATTTGGAGACATTTTCACCTTCCGATTGCAGAGCTGACACCATCAGTTCCTTCAGCTCATCCAGGCATCGGTTGATCCTGGCACGGCGTTTGCGCTCCAACATTGGCTTCATCACTTTGCGGTACTGGTATGTCCTGGATAGCGGTTCCAATGAGCTTGGCTGTGGGATTTTGCCGCTCATCGCGGACTCTGCTACCATGTTTGCATAAACCATTGTGTTCTTCTTGTGTTGTTTTGGTTGTGTCACTTCACAGGATTGTCTTTCCGCACAATTGTTGTTAACTTTTTATCGTTGTGTTATCACTGCACTTCTTTTGCAACAAATTGTTCATAGAATGTTTTTTTTTCTGTTTTGTTTTGGGTGAAATCTCACTTTCACAAATCTCTTCGTTTAGTTTGTTGTTTTTCCTTCAGCGATCTTTAACTACACTGAACTGATGAAATTCCGAAAGACGAGTGCGTCTTCGTAATACTTGAAAAAACTGATATGAGCGTACGTTGTGAACGGTACGAAAGCGAGACGTGAAATGAAGCAAAATCGCACCGAGTCCTGCTTTTATACTCGGAGCAGCTCCGAACGAGTCGTGGGAACCTAAACTCAACTGTATTTCCCACACGAGTTTACCACCTGCAAATGTATATACGATCGTAACCATCTGTCGCTTTTATGTTTTCTCTCTCTCATGCTCTCTTCGTGTTCTCCGTTCCTGCTTCGCGCGTTCTACTCTCCCTCCCCCTCCGACGACCATGTCCTCATCGGCGTCGCCTGCTATGCTTCCCTCCTACCGGCGACCGACCGGCCTACTGCGCGCACGGGAACGAAACGAGACCTAAGTGTGTATGCAGGAGCAACCAACCCAGTATAACGATATTTTTTGTTTAACTTCTTTATTATATGAAAATATCAGTTTAACTTCTTTCCTTCTCCTCTTCCCTTCTGGTTTAATATGACTAGTTTTTAACACATTGAAGCCTAGATCGATAGGGCACCATTAGCAGCAGCACCACCAGGAACAACATGACCAGCAGCATTGGATTGGAAGAAAGCAGCATAAACGGGAACGAGGGGGAAGTGAGTAAGCGAGCGAGAGAGAGAGAGCGAGCATTGTAATCTCGTTCGGAAAACAAATGCCCGCGCGCTTAGCACACGTTATTTTTTCCAAAACTTTCTCACGCTCGGCTCCTCCGGCTGTTGTGGCTCGTTGGCTGGCTGACTGGCTGCCGGTCTGGAGATCTATTTGGGCTGAGTTGTTGATTTTTATTCACTCGTTTGCCTCTTCTACTCGTTCTGCACCGCGCGCCGCTTGCTGCGATATTATTGCTGCTGCGAGGTCTTGTGTTGAATGTATGATTTGACGATCGGCGGCAAGCGACGCTCACACTTTTGCCACGAGTTTTGGCCTCTGCCTCGATCCGGACTCGTTGGCTCTTTGCCGTTTCGGAATGCTTTGGCATTAGGAGGACCAGGGTGCGCGCATTGTGATACACTCGTACCGCTCTTCTGGGCTCGACTATTGATATATCAATATGCTTTTGGGTGATCCGGGAGGCTGTGCGGAGCATATTCAAATAAGCATCGCGGCGACCGACGACGGTGAGGGTGACCCGTGCCGTGCCCCATGTTAGGAGCCTGGAGGGATTGGAAGTTGTGTGGGGAGGACTAATTGAATACAAAGTCCCATAACTGGTTTTCTGGCCGTCACTGGCCGGGTTGGTTAGCAGGGTGCCCCAAGAAAACAGATAATCGAGGATGGATTGAGCAAGAGTCAATTTGGCACGAGCTAAGCACACTCTCAGCCGTTACTACTTCGTTATCGGGTAGTAGCGGAGTGGGACCGGATACTCGATCACTCGTGGCGCATAGTGGCACGTCGCACGCGTTCACCGCAAAGCTCAGCCAGCCAGCCAACGAACGGACGATTGTGTGATAAACTGCCTCAAGACCATAGTAGGCTGTGCGAGTGCACAGGAATGTGGGAAAAAATCGCGGCTTCCTCCGTTGGAGTTGCCATCGTCGCTTTGCGCTTGTTATCACAATCAGCAAATAGAGCGTTAATAAAGTGAGTGATAAACGACTCGCTCTGGCTTGCTCTCGTTGACTGTTTGCGGCTTCGGAGGGGTTTTGGTTTTTGATAAACAGCTAGCCATGCACATAGTTTATCGTCGTTGTCGTCATTCTGACGGATGGGCGGCGGTGTGGTTTAGCATAAATGGGGCCTATTTTGTGATTATGATGTTGTTGGGTCAATAATAACTGATTGCTGCAGCGCTTGATTAGACCATGCGTGCCGTAACGTGTGCCTGGCTACAAAAGCGCAGCCCAACTAACATTGTTAGCTGCATTTGCCTGTATAAGCTAGTGTGCAGCTAAAAAATTTTGTTGAAAGTGTATTGATTTTGATGTTATTTAGTTGACGAAATGGGGAACATATTCAGGTGGACAACCTTCTTCTTCTTATTCACATTTAAAACGTATTGCTTATCACGTATTAGTTAATTGCGTGCTCTCAACTTAGTGTTCTAGATCTACTTCCACAGCTATTAATAGAGAGCTTTCGCTGCCTGTACAGCATTTTTGCATTAGTATAGTTGTGTGGCAAGTCCAATCGTAATCTATGCCCAGGGAAGTCGAGATATTTTCCTACCCAAAAAATTCCTAGACTGGACCAGGAATCGAACCCAGCAGCCTCCAGCATGGTCTTGCTTTGTAGTGCCTTTACCGACTGTGCTAAGAGTAGACACCCAATCTTTCAATAATTTCACATAACCGTAATTCCAAATCTTTCACATTCATCTTCAAGATGGATGTTTAACGTATACTTTGGTTCAATAAGACCACACATATTGCAATAACTAATCTTACACGTGACGGAATCCATCTTTGACATAAAGGATGAGACGTAAACAAACATGTCATGTAAAATTAAGTGCTCCGAGACTGAAAAGTTCGAAAGTATGTTTGATTGAGCTAAATTTCGCATCTATTATGACTCAATGTTATGTCAAAATTGACGTCGTATATGTCAGTCTGGGTCGATGCATATATTATGTCGCGCTCTAAGGGGGGAGGGGGGGTCTAAGATTTTGTGACAAGCAATGCATTTGGTATAGGAAAAACGTCACGATAGGGGGGAGGGGGTAATTTTTTGCTCGATTTATCGTGACATAATTAATGCATGGGCCCTCTCAGAGCACCTAAATTTACATTAATTTTTCTAAGTGTGCATTGAAAAAACGCATGGGTTTCGTGGAACATCGTGGAAAACATTTTTAAAAAGGGGGTTGACAAAATCGGGTCATTACTGTTATTCCTAAAACACGACTCTTTGACACTCGCTTCCAAAATGTATGTGTCAAACTGCAATGCTAGTTTTTCATATGTACATATTGACATCAGACTGAAAATTTAAAAAAAATATGCATTACCAAGCGTTTCCATTGGAAGCGTTATAAATCAGCAGTACCAAGTATGTTTATGCTCAGAGAGATTTCTTGTCTATAATAATTATAAAATGTTACAAGGACATGGCATAAGCATGTCACATAACCAGCACCGTAGTGAGCAAGTGGAGGTGGTGGCATTTTGCACTAAACTACATAAAAAAATGTAACAGCATGATCGAAACTAAATTTTGAAGAAAATGACCATGACCATGAAAACCGTTTGATCGATACTGTTTAGAATATAGATATTTTTAATTTAATTTTCATCTAACACTTATCACTTATTCTACTAGTCTTAATCATGGTCTTCAGAACCCTCATAAAATCCTAATTGTTACTTGGGATGTTTTGTGAAGATGATGTGGATGTGGATGTGGATGAAATATTGATCTTGAAGAAAACTTCCAATGGCTGTTTAAATTTTAAACAGACATGTGATGATTTTTGCTAAAGATATGAACATTTTGACTTCATCGTTCCTTCTTGATCCTATTACTAAACACATTTTTAGACAAATTCAAATCGAACTCATCGCTAACGTCATTGGATGCACGAAGACACGAGTCGAATGGATTATTATGGCCGTAGTTTGTCCTATGATAAGGAACCGCTAGGAGAGGCGAGTGGCGGAAGCGTCTGGGTGGAGCATTCAGTGGAATCTGTTCGAGAAGTGCAGGACAATCGATGGATCCTTTGATGAGGTCAAAGACAAACAAGCGTTGCATGTTGACTCGCCTGGGAGAAAAAGGTTCGAGTTTAATCAGCTGGCATCGATCGACATAAGGAGGAAGATTTTCTGGATCGTTCCAAGGAAGTAGACGAAGAGCGAATCTTATGAACCTTTTCTGCACACGTTCGATCGTCAGAGTCTGTGTTACGTAATATGTCGACCAAACTGGTGCAGCGTACTCCAGGATACTGCGCACCAACGAACAGTAGAGTGTTTTTAGAGCATATACATCGGTGAAGTCAGAAGCGTGTCGACGGATGAATCCTAATACCGAAAAAGCTTTGGCTGATATAATCCCTACATGATCGTTAAACCTCAGCTTTGAATCGATGGTGACTCCCAGATCGCAGATCGAATTTACCCGTTCGAGTGTCTCTGCGTCCATATAGTACTGTTAACAACGAAATAAGCATTTCGATTCGATAAGTACGACAAAAGCCACTCTGTTATCCAATCGGGGAATCCTATGTGCCTCATTTTATCAGTGACTAGAATGTGCGGCACAGTATCGAACGCTTTAGCAAAATCAATATACACCGCGTCTACTTGCCTTCTTTGTTCAATTTCACGAGACATTTTGGTGACGTAACACATCAGATTTGTTGTTGTAGACCGATGTTTCATGAGATAATCGAGGAAGAGACATTATACAAGACCTTGTGGACCAACTTTTCCAAAACCTTGCTTAGGCAGCAAAGTTTAGACACCCCACGATAATTATCCACGCGATTACAGCTGCCAGATTAATGGATTGGCACTATCGATGCCGCTTCCACGCAGTTGGAAAAGTCCTGTCCTGCAGCGAACGGTTGAACAATCGAGTGATTGGAGATGTTAGTGTGGACGAACATTTTTTCAATAACAGTGGAGGAATACCGGCCCTTTGTTCGTTTCTAACTCTTCAAGAGATTTTTGAATTTCCTCTGAACAAAACTGGAGAACAGGAAGCGCGATGTTATGTGTAGTAATATGGGCAAAGCTGTTATGTCGAAGTACAGGTGACACATTAGTGAACACACTCTCGAAGAACGTCGCAAACAGATCAGCAGCTTCAGTGTTGGTGCAAGCATGAGTTCCGTCGTAATGAACGTTACATGGAATCCAGGTGGAAAATTTCTGTTTCCTAACAAAATCCCAGAAAGATGCAGGGTTTTGTTTCACACAAGATTCAATTCCCGATACACAGTTTCTATATGACGAGAAAAGAAGTTCCTTGTACGACGTTTCCACTTCGCGGAGGTTAACTTTGTCGCTATCAGTCCTTGTTAAGAAGAACCGTTTGCGTGATTTCCTGAGATTATTCCGGAGATGTCTCAGCTCGGTAGTCCACCATGGTTTGCTGAAAACTGAGGTAATGGGTCGCCT